AAGTCACGGCCACAGGTAAGTACCAGCCCTGCGGGGCCTTTCAACCAACAAGTACCCTTGCGGGTCACACACACACTCAGCCGACAAACACTCAGAGAGGCATGCAAACCAGTAGGCACGCACACACACACATACATGGAAACCACAATAGAATGCGGGAATCTCAGCAAGGCATTCATTACAGCGGCAAATCCCAGAAATCAGCAGTGTTCTCAGTCTGTGTTTTTGGCGGGTCATTACACTACCCCCCTCTCAAGAGCGAGGTCCCTTCGAGGGAGTAACTTATTCAGAGTCGACACAAAATGCATCGTAGGCGTAGATCAGAAAGAGAGATTTAGTAAGACCGTGGGGAGTGAGTTTTGCAGAAAACTTAGCAGTCTGTTCATCAGCAATCTGTCGTTCATAAGCGTTAACAACACGTGGAGCATTCTTTAGCGGCTCTTTTCGGTCGATCAAGAAAAATTCGTTCAATGGGTGATAGAGGAAGTGAACCTTGTACTGTCTGTTCCTCCCTCTTCCTTCATGGAAAACAATTTTGTCTGTCTCATGGGCGCCGTCAATAGGACGAGGTATCATAGGATCTCAGAAGGGAAAAGTCTCGTCATCTATATGTGGAAACAGTTTGGACGCGTGAAAGACTGGATATGTGCGCAGATGAGGAGGCATGTCAATCACATACGAAGGACCAAAATCATCCCCAATCACCTTTAGAACCTGGCAAGGGCCATAGTACAATAGAAGAAGCTTTCGTGATACGCCCTCTTTGTCAGAAAACTCAGACATTTTGACCCAGTCATAACTCCCTACTTTGAAGTTCCCTTCTTTGCGCGACTTGTTAGCATGTTTGATCATGGCATGCTGACTCTTGTTCATTGCTGCGATAACAGCTTTGAGCAGGCGTGCATACTTGGCATTGTAGCCAGGCATGCCGTGCTTCAGACCAGGGGACCGTTCGGGGAACAAGTAGGAGAGAGGATTGTGCAGCTGCCAACCCTATTGCAGTTGATTCGGTGTCACACCGGTTGAAAGAGTGAATGGAGTTGTTATACAACCCCTTCACTTTGTATAACTCCTTGTCCCACGTGTTCTGATCCTGAACAATTAACGCGCGCAGTAATTGGATGACAGTCTGGTTGATTTCCTCAGCCAATCCATTGGCTTCAGGGTGTCGACCAGAAGTCTTGTTGAGTTTAATGTCGTAGATCTGCGAAGTGAAGTCCTTCCAATCAGCACTAATGAACCTGGTGCCCCGATCACTCACAACAGTTTTCGGGGGTCCATACTGCATAATGTACTGCTGGTGAAATTCCTCGATCACAAGCTCGGTTGGTGCATGAGGAGGTAGAGGAATCAAATTCGAAAATTTGGAAAAACGATCTACAATGACCATGACTTGTGAATGTCCTCCCTCGCTCACCTTCCCCATGTCCGTGAAATCGATAGAGACCGACTCACCGGGCCCATTAAGGATTGGGAGGGGTTTCAGCGGGCCATAAGGCTTATGCCTATGGACCTTGGTTCGTTGACAGACTTGACATTCAACAACAAATTTATAAGCAGATCCCTTCATTCCCGGCCAATCAAACTGCTGCAAAAGACTTTCATAAGTCTTCTCAAAGCTGAAGTGTCCACTCCGACCATGTGCCAAATCCAAGAAATGAGTCTGGAGAGGCGCATGGTTGGGTACACACAAACGATCAAACTTCCCATACCAGCGGATTACAAGGTCCTCACACTCGTGAAAATCTGGCTAACTACTAGGGTCAGCCTTGAGCTGCTCAAGGATGGGACTAAGGTCCGGATCCTTGGCGGTGTGTTCGACCATATCCTCCTTCAGTTTCCTTCGGAGGTCATATGAGTCCACAAGGCAAGTCAAGAACTCAGGATGGCGCGACAAAGCATCAGCGACACAGTTATAACAACCTTTCTTGTGTTTCAGTTCAAAATTGTAAACATCAATGTCATGCAACCAGCGGGTCAGCGTCGGAGAGAGATCGGTTTGTGTTTTAATCCACTGCAAGGTCTGATGATCTGAGTAGACCTTGAAGTGACGATCCAAGAGGTAGTGCTTCCAATGTGTGAGCGCTTATCGCAAAGCATAGAGCTCACGCATATATGTGGAGATAACTACCTTGTGGCTGGGCATGCGTTTGCTGTAATATTCGAGCGGACGCAGACCATCGTCATCATCTTGTTGCAACACTGCACCAATCCCATACTGGCTCACGTCCGTAGTGACCACGAACGTGAGGTTGGGATCCGCAATGCCGAGCACATGATGACTTACCAAAGCCTTTTTCAAGGCTTGGAACGCAGTCTCATATTTCTCACACCACGCATAGGCAACATTCTTGCTTGTCAGTCTCGAGAGTGGGTGAGCAATGACATAAAATTTGGGCACAAACTTCCGATAATACGAGGCCAAACCAAGAAAAGAACGCAGTTCGCATACGTTTGTCGGTTGAGGCCAGTTTCGTATGACCTCAACTTTGGTTGCCTCCGGCTCAAGGCCATTTGCAGACAACCGGTGCCCAAGATAGATGACGTTGTCCCTTCCAAACTCATATTTCTCTAAGTTGAGGTGCAACTGTGCCTCCTTGAGGACCTGCAAAACCTCCTCAAGGTGCTTGATGTGCTCTTCCATGGACTTGCTGAAAATCAGGATGTCGTCGAGGTAAACAACAACAAACCTGTTAAGCAGATGGCGGAGGACCTTGTCCATGAGGCACTGAAACGTGGCTGGTGCATTCGTAAGACCGAAGGGCATGTTTTGAATGCAGTTTTGTGCTGGTCACTCGGATCAACTACAATCTGGTGGTTGCCAGACTTGAGGTCGATCTTGGAGAAGACCTTGCACCCACCTGCAGCATCTAGCAGATCATCTATGCGCGGCAAGGGATAAGCGTTCTTTTGGGTGATACGGTTTAGGCCACGATAGTCAATACACATCCGGAGTTTGCCTCCTTTCTTCGGCACAAACAAGACAGGTGCACCGAACTCAGACTCACTAGGCCTAATCCATCCACGATCAATCATGTCATCAATTTGTCTCCTCAACTCCTCCAACTCGCCTTGTCCCATACTGTAGACGCAACCCTTTGGAGGAACACTCCCTTCTATTATCTCGATTTTGTGTTTAACCGGACGCTCGGGAACTCCACGAGGTTCAACCAGGACTTCAGGAAATCGATCTAATAGACGGCGAATGTTTCTTGGGACTTCTGGTGGAGGATCATCCTTATCAGGAGAGAGAAAATCAGATTGAGAATTTACAACAATTACAACCGGATTTGAAGTACTTGGATCAGAAGTAGACTGATTTTTTACAGTAGAAGTAGATGGAACAAAAGTAGAGGTAGTAGAAGTAGAATTACTTTCGGAGGTAGAAAATGCAGCAAAAGTAGAAGGCACATCGAGAGGCTTTACAAGAGCTACATGCACATGCTCAGCTTCCTTGCGCCTGCGCACTAATTTGCAGAATTTGTTTGTGCTCAAAAGTGTCATAGGGGACTCACGCGTCTTGTCCAATCGAACGGTACGCTCGTTCCCCTTGGCATCACGCACCACGAACTGATTATCCACCCACTTGGTCCTTAGGCAATGAGCCTTCAACCAGCCCAAGCCAATGACCGCGTCGAAAGGATACTTGTCTATAACATAAAAGTTCATCTCATATGTGACAGTGCGATCCTTGTCAAAAGTGATGCACACACCTTTGACAGCATGTGTTGAGGTGACAACCTCTTCGTTGCCCACCTGGGTCTGACAAGGGTTCTGCAATTCCACTTGCTTCATTCCCAGACCCGCCTTACGAATCCCGTTAGGAGAAAATAAGTTAGTCGTTGAGCCATTATCAATCAGCACATGGATGTATCGGCGGTTAATGAGCAGCTTAAAGAAGATCAATTTCACACTCCCTTGAACACGGCGTTGTTGCTTGAGCTGCAACCAATGTTCCAGGTGAGAGTGGAAGTCGACTTCCTTAGTCTCCTCCCAAGGCTCAGTGTATAGTACTTGAACTGCAGCAGCCTTGGATTCGGCATCGGTCTCCGCTTCAAGAGCAGGCTGTTGATCAGATTCAGGCTCCTTGGAGGGGCCTGCAACTAAACGTTCAGCTTCCCTTGTTGTAGAGAGTGTTGATGACTCTTCTACGCCCTTTGCCTGTTTCGCTGCAGACGATAATAGTCCTGCACAGCGTGCCCAGGCTTTTGACAATGCAAGCACACACGCAGTTTGGATCTTCTCTCCCATTCCTTTTGACGGATGCGGAGGGCTACCCAAGGCTTGGTGGAAGCATCCTCCGGTTTCTCAGGGATCTTTGCATTCTTGGGGAGGTGTGCTATAGTTCCCTTACCCGAACCACGGTTAGGCCTCTTGCTTGAAGCAGTTTTTTTAAAGGCATTGCATTTTTCTTCAGTATTCATGTCAGACTCAAGGGTTAATGTAGAACAGCCCACGTCGGGGTCCGGCTCTAGATCGTCATCTAGAGACAGATCATCCGCATAGGACTAATCCTCAGCCTCCCGATGTTCATGCAGGGCAAGCTGGTTGCTGTTTCCGTACCGCTTGTGTTGCGAGGTTCTACCTGCAGTGGGTGCCTTTACACGTCTGGCGAGGTCCTTGGCTTCTAGATTGACTAGATCCGTCAGTAGCTCTCGCCAAGTCGTATGGTCTTTGAGTCCTAGCTGGGAGATATATCCTTCAGGGGCCACTCCCATAACCACATCCATGCAAGACGCGTCAGTCCATCCCAGGTTTGGAGTGGTGAACAGACCAGTCAAGTGCTGCTCCAAAGCCTGCATGGAAGTCCTCCACGTTTGGCCCTTGAGGGCCTCAAGCTTCAACCTTGCCTTGAGCGCAGCATGCTTATCTTGATATTGCACGATGAGGAGGTCCTCAAGAGTACGTACAGGAGTTACTTTCAGCCACTTAGTCATATCAATTCTCTCATAACCTGCAGTAACAGCTTGGAGTTCTATGAAACTCCGTACGGCGGGCTCAGTATTTGTGCCCATGATCATGCTTCGGTCTTCGTGCGGAGTTCGCAGTACCTCGAAGTAGGAGCGCATGGAGCTAACCCAAGAGGTGATGTCCCATTTCCCGTCGTACTTGGACGACAGAGTGGCCGCCCTCTTGTCCACTATGGGACCACTGTATTGTACGCCAGTAAGAACTGCGACGTTTTGGGTTGATGTTCCTGCATTTGGAACTAGGACCAGTGCAGAACTGTCGGCGCTGCCGCTTGAGGAGCTGGCACCAGTTCCTGCGCTCGTCACAGTTCCACTTGCTCTCGACATGAGGACTGTGTTAGGGTGAGAGACTGGGACTGCAACATGTCGAGGATTAGGAGGACGGGGGGCCGACAATTGGGACTTTTTGAGGCTGACTATCTCAGCCTGCAGCTCTTGGTTCCGCTGCTCTAGAGCTGTCACACGACACTCTATATCTTCCAAGGTCCGCAGTCGAACCAAGGCTGCTACGACAACAGCTAGCTTCTCTTGGAACCGTTCATCATTTGATTCCGGAACCTCGAGGAGGGTCACTTGTTCAACAATACTTGTGGCTTTGGCAGCTGCCTCTGTCTCCCTCTCTCTGTGTATTGTGTCCTCATAAAATATATGAAAGAAAGGTTTCTCGTTCTCGGCCGCTGTGTCCAGCATGGCCTTCCATTGCTCGGATGTGATGTCTGCCATGCTGGAGGATAGGGCGTCAGTAGATCTCTCAAGAGGGGTGCGCACTTTGCTCACTTTTGGACGAACACTCCTCTTACCCCTCCTCACACTCTCAAAAAGAACACCTTCTCTCTCCCTTCTCTGTCTTTCCGCTTTCTGTGCACGCGTCTCAATACCGGACATAGATAGTTTAGATAAAAGAAAAACAGTGAATCACAAAGAGTAGAAGGTAGAACTCCTAGTCGGAGCGGCAATTCATTTGGACTTAGAGAATGGCATTCACGCAGCAGAATAAAGATAAATAATTAAATAATAAAAACCGAACGAGAGGACTGACTTATCGAATGGGCCCGATCAAATTAGTTGGAGATCCCCTCTTGTATAATCTGACAAGGAGCATGTACCACAATAAGTCAACCGAAGAAAACTAACTGCAGCAATGGAGGTTTCGAGGGGTGCAGACGGTCGCCGGGCCAGACGCGGGGCAGTATGTGAGAACATGTAGGAAGACCAGTCAAGATCCCCTTGAAAGGAATGCCCTTACTAGCCATATGTCCCCCAAATTCAGCACAGCAAAGAGATGCATTGACGGCAACAGATTTGGGTCCTAAAGGTCCTGTCCAGTTGGGCCTGGTCCCATTGGGTCCCGAAGGTCCCAAGTAGGTCGTGGACCAGGACCAACGAGATAGGTATACCAAGTCAGACCCAAAGTGCCTCTACCGTAATGGAAAGGAAAAGACAACTTTCAGCAAGAACTTACCCCTACAGCCGTTCATAAATGAAAAGACAATCCACCGTAGAAAGATATGTCATTGAGAACAAGATACATCATCCATCCATTCATTAGGTGAGAAAGCAATCCACATGCTCACACACACAACCAAGACCGCACAGAAGAGGAAGAGAGCCCAGCACGCCCCAACAGGCCATGAAGCACAAAGCAACCTCCCACGGGCATAACCAGGTCACACGGCACTTACCTGTGAGRCCCGGCCTCCAAAGATGGATAACGACTCACCCCCCTCTCTCATAGGTCCTCCTGACCCCTAGCTACCACTACACGAAGTGTCCTAGCATGACTAAGAGGGCCTCCCTACACCCCTGTTACAACGTCGGATCACCCGTCGATGTGTAAAGACCAAAGTAGCGACTTGCAGCTCTTCGGTGCAGATATGGCAGCCTCCGATCAAGTCTCCCTCTTGAGGGGAAGCCCAAAAGTCACTCAATGTCTTCTTGAAGTGCAGATTCCAGGTGCGAGTACCTCTCACTCTCTTCTCCCTCTCGCTTACTCCAATCAGCCTCCTTTGTGTCTCGCCACCCCATCCAATCACACAAGCAACCTGGTCAGGTCCGATGTCGACCCTACATGACCTAACCAGGTGGGGGCAGTATCCACATACCTCACTGCCCCTCTTAACCCTAGCTTCCCAGCCCTAATCCGAGATTAGGTTAGCCCTAACCTAATTCGGAATTAGGTTTAGGGTGACTAACACCTCTCGCCAGGAAGTAAGTCCGCTCCGATACCAATTGTTACGATCCTGGTCATTCCCAAAGTGCAAATTCACAATGAAAGACAATGCTACCCAATTGCGAAAGAAATGAAAGCACTTGCAAAGAGATAGAGACCAGAGAAGAGGGAAAGAAGAAGAAGAAGAAGAAGAAGAAGATGTACACCAGCAAGACCAATGACAAATCCCCCCTTCTCTCTCCACCTTCCTCCTCCTCCTTAACCTCTCCAATCTTATTCTTCTTCCAAATAACAAAAATAACAATGAGTGGATGTACCAGAATCAATATCCGAAGTTCCCTCTTACCGCTGACTCAACAACAACAACAACAACAACAACAACAACAACAACAACAACAACAACAACAACAACAACAAGTCCACCATAGCTATGGCTTCCCTCCTTCTTCCTGCTCTCACATGCTTAGGCTATGGCGGATTACTGAGGGCCCTGCCCTCCTGTCCAAAGGACAACCCAAAGCAGCTATGGTGCTGCACTCCTGTCCAAAGGACAACCCAAAGCAGCTATGCCGCTGCTGACTAAGCCGCCATGCCTGACTCTGCCTCGAGCTTCCTTGGTGCGGCACTACCCCAACTGGGGCCTTCCGGATGCAGCGCCCTAGCCAGGCTGAGCGCCCAGCTGCCCTTCACCTCCAGGCAGCGCTGTACCAGTCCAGCGCTTCGCTCAGCAGCATGTCGCCAATCCTTGCATACCGCAAATGAGGAGGAGCTACTTGCTCCTCCGGAAGATATAGCGGCCTACTGGCCTCTTGGGCGGTGACTTCCTAGGCCGAGCAGCCTCCCAGCAACCGGTACCTCCTCCCTTTCGGAGGGAAACATCATTGCAGGCTCTGCTATCGTCCGGACAGGCACTAGACCCAGGCTACTTGGACTGGTACCGGCCTACCTCTAACCTACCGGTACTGGGCCTCTAAAAATGCCAGCTTTTTGTCTTCTTCTGCTCGGCCTCCAGTACCCGACACTTCTACCACTACTTGAGTGGTACCGGCCTACCTGCTACTTGAGTGTTTTTCCCCACTGCTCTAAGTGTCGCGGGCCTACCCCCGCTACTTGAGTGTTTTCCCCGCTGCAACCCTCAAAGTCACGGCCACAGGTAAGTACCGTCCCTGCGGGGCCTTTCAACCAACAAGTACCCTTGCGGGTCACACACACACTCAGCCGACAAGCACTCAGACAGGCATGCAAACCATCAGGCACGCACACACACACAGACATGGAAACCACAGCAGAATGCGGGAATCTCAGCAAGGCATTCATTCCAACGGCAAATCCCAGAAATCAGCAGTGTTCTCAGTCTGTGTTTTTGGCGGGTCATTACACTTGCTGAAGTTGAGATAGCAATAACCTGTGGAACAAGGGTCCTTGCTGACTGCCAGATGCCACCCATCCAAAGGCAACACATCTTGAAGGAATGCAAACACTCACTACCTGTAGCAGCAAACTTTGAAAAACAACAACATACGGACGACTCATACTTACCTCAGGTTTGAATCCCGCTTCACTCAGAGCCTAACACCAACAGACAGATACAGGGCTTTCCTTGCTATGGGTTGCTGCTTGGCCCATGGACACTGACATCAACAGTTTTCCTTCCACAGAAGTTGCGTTGGGAACTGCTGCATCACAGTTTCCAAGGGAATAGGTCGTTTCCCTTCCTGGGAGCTTGCAACTTATGGAGGGAAGCAGCATAGCTGAGCAGGAAATCTGCATTATCTGCTAGCTGAGCAGGAAATCAACATCATCTGCTCGTCATTGCAGCGCAGCCAAGTAGGGCGCCAGGATTTGTCAGATGGTGTGGGCCCTATGCTTCAGCGCTTGCTTAAACTGAGCAGTACCAGGATTGGGCTCTCATGGCATGAACCTCAAGCTTTCGTCAGGTCAGGACCCAGCTACACTGGCATTGTGTATGCAAGGCTTGTGGAGGCTAGGAGATATGGTAGTGGGGCTTAGAGACACCAATGAAAATCTAGGTACTGGGTGCTATAAGGCAGTCCGTAGTTCTGAGGGAAGAACATAATGACTATGGAGGTTGATGGACATTGGGAAGTAAACGAACACATACAAGGTATGAAGCCAAGGTTTCTCGTCGGCAGCACCAGGCCGTTGGTCCGCCAATGTATGAGCTTCAATTGTACTTCCATAGAACTGAATGTTGATGTGGTAATTGAAATCAGGAGTTTGAACAGTCCTGCGAACACATGGTGCCTGTGCGGAAAACGTTGGATAAATTGTCGAGTGAACAGGGTCGTTGAACCCATTGCAAGGAAGATGAGCAATAGCGAACTCCAGCAATCAAACAGCAACATACATATGAGTCCAGATAGTCTTGACCTCGAACCAACAGCAGAATTGCATCACGAGATTCACCAAATAAGAACACACCAAGAGTTCATAATTGACAATGCTGAAATAGTCCCATCATCATCAACGAAGAACCAGAGTTGATATCCTATCTGGCGCTCGGCGCCCAGACTACATGTGGCAGATCCTATCTAGCCTATACTACGAAGCCGAAAGATGACATCAACAGCTTTCCCGAAGTACGAGCATATAGCGACCAATGTCGCACGCTTCCAGCACCAGGTATGTCTCGCGCTACACTCACAACCTCGTTCCCCAACTCACAGATGCCACTAGCACCCAAGGACCACCCTGCGCTTCACCCAGCTTACAGCAGCGCAGCTTGGCTATGGCTGCGTGCTCCTTCCCTGCTCACCCGTGAGAGCGTGGGCGCCAGCCAGCAAATAGCGCAGCAGCAGCGCTTGCGCAGCATGCAGCCAGCACCCGAATGCCGAATTAGGAGGCAGGCCCTTCCCTATATCGAAGTGGCCTGCCTGCGTCCAGTCCAGGAAGCTTCCAGTAGGCCCCGGTAGCCTGAGGCCCAGCACGAGAGGAGCAGGCCTTGGGCCTGAAGTGGTTGCATGTGCCCAACTGCTTTCGGCCCGTGTTTGGCCCCGTACCCGTATCAAGCCCAGGGCCTGCTTCACGTACATTCACACAGGCGGCCCAGGGCCTGGGTTCACTCAACCAACTGGCGCTGCGCAACTGCCTGACTTTCCCTGAGTTGCGTGGTGGCCAGAAAAGGGCCCTGAGGGCCTCGTCGAGCCTGCCTTTACTTAGGGCGGCCGACGGGCTGCAAAAATGGGGCCTTGTGGGGCTCTTAGAGGCAGTGACCTCGCACCATGACGTAAATGTTCCTTATTGGCTGCAATCAGACTGCGGTCCTTGGACATATCAATAAAATCAAGGGGTCAAAGATGGTGCAAGAAGGGAGAATCAAAACTTGTTCGAGACATTTGACAGTTCCATCTTCTTCTCCACGGTTAACTTCATCACTGCACAGTGTGGGCGAGTGGAAATGACTTAAGAATGTTCAAAGTTATGACCATACAAAATTCGAACCTCGCATTCTGTTTTTTGCCAACAGGTTGTACTCTATGCAGGGATTCACCTAACCTGATGAAGATACACTGTGGATATAAATGCTGCAAGTTTGGTCAGGCTCTGGCGGCCACTTCCTCCAACACCAACCAGGAGCATGTGCCCTCCTGGCTGCTTAAGGATGCGGCATATTCGTGAAATGTGCTCCACTGCAAATAGAAAGATTGCTAAGCTCATTGGCC